TGCAAGAAAGCATTATAAGAACATCTAGTCGCGTATTGATACGTATTGAATGTAGTTGCTACTTTCTACGTTGCGTACTTACCAGTGATAGAAGGCCACTTTACACAACTTCTCTTGCATATACAACGGATACTCACTGAATGATTTTACGCTTTGTAAACAGTGAAGCACCTGGCAAAGAGTAAGCATGTGACTGTAAAACCTCATCATATTAGTGAAGCGCGAAGTAACTTTAATATTCGACACATTCAATTAGAATTGAATACTAGAATAACATGATAGTGAGGCAAAGTCACTGAAAACAATCATTTCCTGAATTCATAACGAGATAACAGTATTTTTTGAATTTGTTTTAGTGATGATCTGCCCCAGTGTTTTCTTCTGATCATCAAAAAAATGAGCATATCAGTTTCCGGTCTGTTGTTACACATCTCACTGTGGATGAGTGAATTGGTGTAAATATGACAATGATAGACAGCATGGTAGCTTAGTTAGTATGACTAATCTGTTAACTGTTGTGGGTACAATATTGTGAATACAATAGGACTAACCTGTTTTAACTGCTGTGGGGTGCGATCTTTAATCCCGATTGTTAAAAAGCTTTTCACATCTTGGCTTAATCGTAACTATAAGAAATGAAAGTACGATCAAGTACAGAGTATGTAATCAGGCAATTAACCGAACCCAGATTTATTTGAATATATGTATAATATAAGTTCATTGTCGATTTATCCTATGTCTACTATTGTCAGCATCTGGATTTTGTCTTGTTAGGTATGTGACTCAAAATACGTTTACGTGAGACGCATTGTCAAAATATTAATATGAACGGAAGGTTTGTACGACAACGTTATTATGGTAACATGGTACTCACTTCTTTCCTCGCTTTGAAATATTTTTTATCAAATGTAAGACTCTCTGTTAGCGTCTCTTCACCAATCTTGGTTTTACATTTGCCAGCGAATGCAGTGAAAGACAGCAGTGTGTCTCGCTCTTCGTAATCTACAGCAACCCTAGTAGATAACAACAACACCCATTATGATATCTATGATACACCATGGAGGTATAAACAGAGGTATATATCTCCATGGATACACACAGACAGATCAACTGTCATTGGTAATCTGGAAACAGTCCGCAAAGCATACATGGTATATAGAATTTCTGGAATTAGTAAAACAAACGTGGAGTGTGGGTGATGAATGTTTTATATAATTTTATGTAGAGCGGGAACTGAATGTGCATAAATGTGAAGAGGGGCTTGGGCTGTTGATATGTGTACAGTGGGCAATATATGCATTTTAAGACAATGCGCAATTCACAAATTAAACGCTTTCTTTAAAAGCTATTTCTTAAATTCACTAACTTCAGTACACGATTTAAATTCAAATGGTAGAGCATTTCATTTGCAGCCACATCAACAGCTCTGTCAGCACAGGTCGCCAACCTTGACTGTTGCAAACAATGATGGCACATATGGAGTCACCATTTCACAAATGTATTCCGTGCTTTACGTTCAAAACTCCATGCGTTATTTCACTTTGATAGTTGAATAATTAGATTCTAATAGTATTTGCGAGAACCTGATGCACATTGTTATTATCGTTTCGATCATATTCAAGATGGCCGACTGACGGATATTTGTTTCCCACACTTCAATTAATGACGGGGATTTTAATGACTTTTAATGATCGTCTGTTTTTCTTCTTTATTTTTTTGTCTTTTTTTCAACTGGCGGTATTTTTTTATTTTATTTTTTTTTATTTCAAGGCAGCAGATTTGGGAATTTGGTTTTCAAGTCGTGATTTCCGTGATTTACTCGTATGCATTACGTAAGAGTGATCTTTCCCGCAATAGTCTTTCATGAAAACGTTGTTTATAAACACTGACATAAGGGGTCGCGCTATTTCGGGTTTTACAGGCAACCACGTAAGCCTGATTATTTGTCCCAATTTCAACGCCGGTGGCTAAGTTTATTTGTACAAATTCCGTCGCCAAATAGAACCGTGAAAAGTTTCGGTCAATGACACCGTCTTTGTTAATGCGCGTAGCTAAATTAGTAGCCAATATCTGAGTTTCTCTTTTGTGGGTTGCTTAGTTACCATGCACTAAGAGATGGGTGGTGATTGGCGATGATCATTTCAGGCCAACAAATTTACACAGAGCGTTTACGTGTATCGAGTTATCTGCAAGGGAAAACATCCAAGGGCGTGTATTCAACTTATGACACAATTAGGCGGACGAGCTACTAGTACAACGGCTAAATACATCCCCATCGTTTCTGTTGCGGGCACGCTATTAGTAACATAGCTACGAGAGACCTCGGAACTCGTTCATTTGTTGCATATTCTGACTTTTCGGTACTTTCATCTTACTTCACTATGCCAAAACCATGAATGCGTTCAGTAGCAGAGCACGTATTTGAATCTTTCTTAATGTCTGTTATGGCACTAAGTGCCCTCGTAGAAGTGATGGCTAACGAAATACCAGAGAACATTAACGGATTTGGACACTCGGCAACGATTTCTTTATTGGGCTCACCCGTGCTTACGACGACGAGACTTCACTAACACATGGTGGCCGATTCACAGCCCTACTACATAACCACATGTCATTATGCCTCTAAGCATATTCTTACACACACCATTTTATAATGCATGAATGTGTATAAAACTATTTATAAAACATTTAACTCGGAAAGTAACACATGGTAATACATTTTTTGAGAAGTTTAAAGAAATTCAAAGCAATTCTTAATTTTCTGGTTTTGCGCTGACAGGCGCATATTAGAAATTTGAACTCTCATGGGCGCATATATTAAAAATCTGGACGATAATTGGAGCATATTCGAAATCTGGACGGTGATTGGAGCATATTCGAAATCTGGACGGTGATTGTAGCATATTCCAAATATGGACGGTGATTGGAGCATATTAGAAATCTGGACGGTGATTGGAGCATATTCCAAATATGGACGGTGATTGGAGCATATTAGAAATCTGGACGGTGATTGGAACATATTATGAACCTGGACTGTGGTTGGAACATATTATAAATCTGGACGGTGATTGGAACATATTATCAATCTGGACGGTGATTGGAAC